CAGAAGCAGGAACCTTCGTGCAGACAGAAGCGGGAAACCCCTTCGTGCAGACAGAAGCAGGAACCCTCGTGCAGACAGAAGCAGGAACCTTCGTGCAAACAGAAGCAGGAACCTTCGTGCAGACAGAAGCAGGAACCTTCGTGCAGACAGAAGCAGGAACCCTTCGTGCAGCAAGAAGCAGGAACCTTCGTGCAGACAGAAGCAGGAACCTTCGTGCAGACAGAAGCAGGAACCCTCGTGCAGACAGAAGCAGGAACCCTCGTGCAGACAGAAGCAGGAACGTTCCCCTCGTGCAGACAGAAGCAGGAACCCTCGTGCAGACAAAAGCAGGAACTCTCGTGCAGACAGAAGCGGGAAACCCCTTTCGTGCAGACAGAAGCAGGAACCTTCGTGCAGACAGAAGCAGGAACCTTCGTGCAGACAGAAGCAGGAACCTTCGTGCAGACAGAAGCAGGAACCCTCGTGCAGACAGAAGCAGGAACCCTCGTGCAAACAGAAGCAGGAACCTTCGTGCAGACAGAAGCAGGAACCTCGTGCAGACAGAAGCAGGAACCCTCGTGCAGACAGAAGCAAGGAACCACCGTGCGGACAGAAGCAGGAACCCCCGTGCAGACAGAAGCAGGAACCCTCGTGAAAGACAGAAGCAGGTACCTTCGTGCAGACAGAAGCAGGAACCCTCGTGCAGACAGAAGCAGGGACCCTCGTGAAAGACAGAAGCAGGAACCTTCGTGCAGACAGAAGCAGGAACCCTCGTGCAGACGAAGCAGGAACTCTCGTGCAGACAGAAGAAAGGGAACCCCGTGCGGACAGAAGCAGGAACCTTTCGTGCAGACAGAAGCAGGAACCCTCGTGCAGGCAGAAGCAGGAACCCTCTCGTGCAAACAGAAGCAGGAACCTCGTGCAGACAGAAGCAGGAACCTTCGTGCAGACAGAAGCAGGAACCCTCGTGCAGAAAGAAGCAGGAACCTTCGTGTAGACAGAAGCAGGAACCCTCGTGCAGACAGAAGCAGGTACCTTCGTGTAGATAGAAGCAGGAACCCTCGTGCAGACAGAAGCAGGAACCTCGTGCAGACAGAAGCAGAACCCTCGTGCAGACAGAAGCAGGAACCTCTCGTGCAGACAGAAGCAAGAACCCCCGTGCAGACAGAAGCAGGAACCTTCGTGCAGACAGAAGAAGGAACCTTCGTGCAGACAGAAGCAGGTACCTTCGTGTAGATAGAAGCAGGAACCCTCGTGCAGACAGAAGCAGGGACCCTCGTGCAGACAGAAGCAGGAACCCTCGTGCAGACAGAAGCAGGAACCCTCGTGCAGACAGAAGCAGGAACCCTCGTGCAGACAGAAGCAGGAACTCTCGTGCAGACAGAAGCAGGAACCCTCGTGCAGACAGAAGCAAGAACCCCCGTGCAGACAGAAGCAGGAACCCTCGTGCAGACAGAAGCAGGAACCCTCGTGCAGGCAGAAGCAGGAACCTCGTGAGACAGAAGCAGGAAAACCCCTTCGTGCAGACAGAAGCAGGAACCCTCGTGCAGCCAGAAGCAGGAACTCTCGTGTAGACAGAAGCAGGAACCCTCGTGCAGACAGAAGCAGGTACCCTCGTGTAGACAGAAGCAGGAACCCTCGTGCAGACAGAAGCAGGAATCCTCGTGCATACAGAAGCAGGAACCCTCGTGCAGACAGAAGCAGGAACCCTCGTGCAGACAGAAGCAGGAACCCTCGTGCAGACAGAAGCAGGAACTCTCGTGTAGACAGAAACAGGAACCTTCGTGCAGACAGAAGCAGGAACCCTCGTGCAGACAGAAGCAGGAACTCTCGTGTAGACAGAAGCAGAAACCTTCATGTAGATAGAAGCAGGAATAAACTTGTAGACAGAAGCAGGAATAAACGTGTAGACAGAGACAGGAACCTTCATGTAGACAGAGACAAAAACCCATGTGTAGACAGACAGGAACCCTCGTGTAGACAGAGACAGAAACCCACGTGTAGACAGAAACAAAAACTCACGTGTAGACAGATAAAATATAACAAAAAAAAAATATAGCTTATTTCGACTTTTAATTGAGATCCTCATCAGAAGATATAACTAAGAGTTTCAGAAATCAAGGTCATACGGGCACAGCGAGCGGCAACATCACGCAAGATGGCATCATTATCTTATGTTTTAGTATGTTTCAAAGTCGAGGATTTTGTCCCCTGAATTCTTGAGCTGAGGCCTTGCCAGGCGTCCACAGTGGAACATATTACCTCATCCACACCCACCATACATCCTCGCTGCATCAATCACGCCCAGCCTCCTCCCCAGTCTTGCTCCATTCAGCATGTCGTAACACACTCTAGCCAGCTGGATGGATGCTAATCAGGAGGAAGTTGGCAGCCTAGGGAATGGCGCAGCTGGCAGTGTTAGAAGAGGCAAGTGTCGATCGTGTTTCCAAGTTTATTACCTCAATACTAATGATTTCCTCTGCAAACATGGTAGCTGCCCTGGTTGAAGATGTCGTCCCGTGGAAAGTGATGATCCACAGCCACTTTAAGCACCTGGAGACACACTCCAATTGATCTGAGTTCAACAGATAATATCGTAGAGGCAATCAAAGCCACAACTGCCAGGAGCCTCCACATATGCTCAAAACAGCCTTCCACATGCAGCTGAGAACCTCACAGACCTTCTAAAGAGAGTAAACAAAGGTTCCACATTCCAACACGCCTCGCTCACCATCAGTGTCTGGCACAATTTGCTACTATTTGGCAGTGTCTGCCTAACCGTGCCGACAGAAGGTGGCAAGTCGCTAGCTTCGACGATGATCAAATCATTATGAGATGAGAACTTGATTGGCCTTCCCCAGCAACACAAAAGGAAGGGGAAAGATGGAAACCCGGTAATCAGTCCACTGACAGTGAGGAAATTAGAGTCCAGGTGAACAATAAACATGAAGAGGGAAACACTGTGGCGACAATCAAAACAATCACCAGCAAAGACGTAACTGAGCCGAGGGATCCTAATACAACTGAAGCACAGAGGAAAAGAAAAACATCTTGCAAGGAAACCAGCAGTTGAACACCACTGTCCCGATTCTGGAACAACTGTTTATGCAAAATCCAGACGCTTAAAAGGCAATTATGTCGTTTCCCTCTGGCTCTGCTGGGAGCTGCACTGGAGTAAGACCTCAGCCTTGAAAAAAAAAATAGTTAATCTAGTTCTCGCGAAAATTGCGTGGCTCATATTATCAAAGATTACAAGGTTTGGTAACAATTCCTTGGCTGGTCTGATTGCAGACACTGCAAGGCTCCAGGCGGACATCAACCAAATCTTTCAGTGGGCTGCAGAAAACAATATGAAGTTCAACGATGAGAAATTTCAATTACTCAGATATGGTAAACATGAGGAAATTAAATCTTCATCAGAGTACAAAACAAATTCTGGCCACAAAATAGAGCGAAACACCAACGTTAAAGACCTGGGAGTGATCATGTCGGAGGATCTCACCTTCAAGGACCATAACATTGTATCAATCGCATCTGCTAGAAAAATGACAGGATGGATAATGAGAACCTTCAAAACTAGGGAGGCCAAGCCCATGATGACACTCTTCAGGTCACTTGTTCTATCTAGGCTGGAATATTGCTGCACACTAACAGCACCTTTCAAGGCAGGTGAAATTGCTGACCTAGAAAATGTACAGAGAGCCTTCACGGCGCGCATAACGGAGATAAAACACCTCAATTATTGGGAGCGCTTGAGGTTCCTAAACCTGTATTCCCTGGAACGCAGGAGGGAGAGATACATGATTATATACACCTGGAAAATCCTAGAGGGACTAGTACCGAACTTGCACACGAAAATCACTCACTACGAAAGCAAAAGACTTGGCAGACGATGCACCATCCCCCCAATGAAAAGCAGGGGTGTCACTAGCACGTTAAGAGACCATACAATAAGTGTCAGGGGCCCGAGACTGTTCAACTGCCTCCCAGCACACGTAAGGGGGATTACCAACAGACCCCTGGCAGTCTTCAAGCTGGCACTGGACAAGCACCTAAAGTCAGTTCCTGATCAGCCGGGCTGTGGCTCGTACGTTGGTTTGCGTGCAGCCAGCAGCAACAGCCTGGTTGATCAAGCTCTGATCCACCAGGAGGCCTGGTCACAGACCGGGCCGCGGGGGCGTTGACTCCCGGAACTCTCTCCAGGTAAACTCCAGGTAATTCCCGACCATATTAAACCGTTTTTCTATGGTGCTTTGTTCTGTGCCATGAAAAGAAAGATGTAGGAATTTGGCCCATTGCCGTTGGCACTCTTTGCCGCCTCGTTGCTAAAGTAACTGCCATATTTATTCGCACAGAGGCGACCATGTTGCTTCATCCAGCGAAGCAGCAGTACATGCAACAAGGACGTATGTCAATAACCTGCTTGGGGACAATACAGTAGTAAAACTAGACTTCAAGAATGTATTTAATCTGCTGAAAAGAGTGGTGTATAAAGGCCATACACACATATTTACCCAGTCACTTCACTTTTGTTTCAACTGGATATAGCGAGGAGTCGATGCTCCTTTTTGGGGAGAATTAAATCACTTCATCGAAGGGTATCCAGCGAAGATATCCCTCTCACCACGTTTCTCTTCTGATTGTACACTGGCGGCACAAGGGAGTCCCTTCTAGCAGATTTTGCTCAGATGATGACACGGGGACAGGATGTGGGACTCGTTTTTAATCCATCCAAATACAAAATCATTTCGGCCAACCAGCAAGTGACTGATACAAAGTGAGATCCATTCTGCCAGGTGTATCACGCATTGTCCTCACATATAGCGTCTTGCTTAGAATTGATGACATTGACGCAGTTCTCGAGAACAAACTGGGCAATTTGAGAAGTAGGGAGCAATGCGTAGGTAATCTATAAGGATCTATGAGGATGCAGATCCTAACATCTAAATCCTCACATGACGTCCCTAAACTAAATAAATGAGACAGTCTCCGGAATTCGATATTCACAAAAGTGCTCAACCTCACTCTAGAAGACGGGTAGTGAGACCAAGCTTCCAGTCAGACTTGGAGATATCACAGGGCCTTGCAGATAGCACTCCCTGCATTCTCGTCTTCTTGTGTGAACGTCCAGCGAATTTTAACAGCGAATCTCCCTGCTTTACATACTCAAGTAAATAAGCACTTTCCACTATCAAACATTCACTAGCGACTAAACTCACCCTGGGGAACAAACAAATACACCCTGGCCAAATAAACACACCCTGGCGACTAAACACATCCTGGCCGACTAAACACACTCTGGTGACCAAACACTCACCAACGACCATCATGCGGCCAAAGCGGTTGAGCGTGTTGAAGCTGTCCTCGACGGAGATCTCACAGCGGTAGAGCCCCGACGACCGGAAGTCCAGCCGCGTCAGCACCACCCGCGACGCGTTCGACTTGGACGGCTGTGGACGGAAAGTCAGATATCAGTGTGGGGTGCGGGTTGGGTGGTGGGGGGAGGTTATAAAGTGTGCTTAGGTCGACCTGGGGAGTCAGAAGTTCAGTGTAGGGCGAATCTGAGTTAGAGAGTCGACGTGGGGTCAGAAGTTGAGTGTGGGGTCAACTTGAGTTAAAGATTCGACCTGGGATCAGAAGTTCAGTGTGGGGACAACTGGAATATGTTTTACTAGTCCTCATCCTCCTAACTACCCGTGTTAACCTACCTGGAGGGTCTATCTGGAGGGTATTCCGGGGGTCAACGATCCCGCTGATCGTCCATGACCAGGCCTCCTGCGTAGTGGTTTTGACCTATTATGTTATATATTACTAATATTACAAGATATTATTGATGGAATGAATGATAATGAAAGTGTTTCTTCTTTTTTAGATCACCCTACCTAGGTGGGATACTGCCCATGTGTAAAAAAAAAATATATCTCATATATACCTCACGGGGTTTGAAGTCTATCGACTTCAACACCTCGGAAACACTGAACTGGGATGTCAGTGGGATCGTAATTCACGTACTATAGATCAACGCAGTTAATAGTGATATTTATATAATCTAAACTAAGACTTTTTTCGGTAATTTGCGTCTTGATTGCTGGAAATATTCTCAAGATTGACAGTTGTGAGTCTTGGAAAGGGATCAGATAGAAATTGGTCAACTATAATAGTCACAGTATAAGTTGCACTGAATTCTAGATTGATCTAATATGTCGCTATATATATTTAAATAGACTCAGTGGTGCCCACAATTCTAGCATTACCATGTTCATTTAGAAATTATCCTAGAAATATAAACATATAAGCAGTATAATGTGATCCTTTATTGACAACGTTTCGCCCAGCTTTATCCAGTGACAAACAGATGTACCTGGGTGAAAGATGCGCGAGTATTTATAGGATGGAGTCAGTATTCTCCACCTGACTCCATCCTATAAATACTCACGTACCTTTCACCCAGATAGATCTGTATGTGACTTGATAAAGCTCATTGTGTGGGCGAAACGTTGTCAGTAAAGGATCACATTATACTGCTTATGTGTTTATATTTGCACTGTCGGTATTTTAAACCATTTATTTCCATCCAAAAATATCCCAGTTTAGTTCCAGTGGTGGTTGTTATAGACCTTCCAAGATTCCTATTTCTGGTATTAAAGTTGTGATCTGGTTCAGCATCAGGTTCAGAATGTTCAACTGGGGCATAAAAATTGATAATATTAATGGAGAAGTTGCCTGTATACACCTTAACACCCTGACACTCCATGTTTACTCGACTTCGTAGGGCTGTAAGTGTACCAAGTTTTTTCTAACATAAATCACACATCAATTAGTTGTGTGATTTATGTTAGAAAATCACTGGTAGTGTATATTCCTGCAAACAGGTGATATCGATATCCTCGTTTGCACTAGTGATGCAAGTCAGGTTAATGTTTCTTAATGGAAGCAATGTTCCGTGGTAAATAATTGTAAGCTATCCATCACAGTCTTTTATTACAATATCTTTCTTGTTAGATGTACGAGTGTGTTGCAGCGATGGTCAACCAGTACTTACCTGTAAATAATATAGCTGCAACTTCTTTTCTTCCTAAGTAATATTCTAATTTATATCCAGGTACTGCCTCAGCACTGCTTCAGCACTGTATCAGCACTGCTCAGCACTGTCTCAGCACTGCCTCAGCACTGCTTCAGCACTGCCTCAGCACTGCCTCAGCACTGCCTCAGCACTGCCTCAGCACTGCCTCAGTACTGCTCACACTGCCTCAGCACTGCCTCAGCACTGCCTCAGCGCTGCTTCAGCACTGCATCAGCACTGCCTCAGCACTACCTCAGCACAATCCCAGGCAAAGCGTGTAACCAAAACTCCTCAGCTACTAATATTGTTCAGTATTTTTCTCTTAAATATTGACCTCGTAAATAACTGAGTCAAAACATCCAGAATAAAAGTCACCCATTTGATATAAGAACAAACCTAGAGAATGTTTCCGAAGGAAAGTTGAAATTGAAACTGATTTATTTCACACTCCAAAATATTGATGAGAGTGATTTTCCCTTCACTGAGTATGAGTTAGTCATTGCGCTAGATCAAGTTGATCATCAGTTGTTGAAATCCTCAGAACTTTAAGGCAGCTTCCCGATAACCCTTTGTAAGCGCTGTATAATCTTAGTTATTAAGTTATACCGAGGTGTCCTTCCTACTTCCTTGACCAATATCCTCCTTGTGCCGATTCCTGAGAGAGATACGGAGCCTTGAACTACTGACCAGTGTTCCTAATGAGTGTAACGTGTAAGTTGCTGGAAAAGTTTATAAGAAGAAGCTTGGTAAACATCTTGAAAGCATTAAACTTTTGACAGAGCACCAACCCGGCTGTAAAAAAAAAATATAAGGATAAGTCTTACGAAGCTTTTAAAGAAATATAACAGATTAACGGAGGTCAAACAGGAATGAGTAGGATGAGACTACTATATATACTTTTCAAGTGAAAAAAAATCGGGGTAAAAGGAAAGAAATAGCACGGAGGAGGGGTTTCTTAAATCATAGTAAACAAAAACACTATAAACGATGAAAACTCGGGACGGGAGAGTGTAACTTGTGGAGTTCCACAAGGACCAGTGTTGGGACCTGTGTTGTTCTTCGTGTATATATGTGAACTTATTACAGAAATTAGGTCGTATGCAGTATAAGCTTATCCGTAGATGCTGTGAAGATAATAACGAGAATACAAACTGAAAAGAATGAAATAAGGTTGTGAGAAAATCTGGATAGAGTTCAGGAATGATCTGATTAGTGATAATTGAAATCAAAACCACGCAAAAGCAGACCTATGAAGCTGGGAGATGGAGAAAGGACGTTGAAAACAGAATCAACGACGGGCAAAAACCTCTCAAAGGTAGTTAAAGACCAAAGGTCTGGGAATACAGTGTACTTCAAGCTTGTTACCTGAGGCTCACAGTAACACAATAACATCAACAGTAGCAGCACGGACTAAGCTGGCAAGTATAAGAGTGCCTTTCAGGACCTGAGGGAAAAAGTAGTTCAGAACAGCTCGTAACTTCGTACCCGTTCTTGAGTCAGCAGCGCTGGTGTGGAACCCACACCTTGCATAACACAAGGTGAAGCCTGAGAAAGTACTATGGAGAGCATCATAACTGATGAGTAAGTTGAGGGGAATTAGGTATGTGGAAGGATAACAAGAGCTTGACGGTGTGTCACAGGAGGAAACCAGAAGGGATGTCAGGAAACATTTCTTCAGCTTAACACTGATTGAAATATTGACTGAACTTAGAATTCTCTGCACATGGTTGAAGAGAACTTTACACATTATTGAAGAGGACTCTACACTTCGATGAAGAGGATTCTACACATTGTTGAAGAGAGCGCTACACAATGTTGAAGAGGACTCTACACATCGTTAAAGAGGACTCTACGCAGTGTTGAAGAGAACTCTACACATCGATGAAGAGGACTCTACACAGTGTTGAAGAGAACTCTATATATGGTCGAAGAGAACTCTACACATGGTTGAAGAGAACTCTACATATGGTTGAAGAGAACTCTACATATGGTTGAAGAGAACTCTACACATGGTTGAAGAGAACTCTGCACATGGTTGAAGAGAACTCTACATATGGTAGAAGAGAACTCTACACATGGTGAAGAGAACTCTACACATGGTTGAAGAGGACTACACATGGTTGAAGAGAACTCTACACATGGTTGAAGAGAACTCTACACATGGTTGAAGAGGAGTACACATGGTTGAAGAGGACTCTATACATGGTTGAAGAGAACTCTTCACATGGTTGAAGAGAACTCTACATATGGTTGAAGAGAACTCTACATATGGTAGAAGAGAACTCTACACATGGTTGAAGAGAACTCTACACATGGTTAAAGAGGACTCTACACCTTGTGAGCCTCACAAGCGTCTAACAAGGTGACAAGAGTCAGAAAAGTGAGGTGAGGACCACAATTTAATAAGTTAATTTGAAAATGGTTGTCTGCTTGAAGCAGTGACGGGTTGCCAGACCTGGTCTCAGGCAGCTGCTGTCGCCACAAGTGCATCAATATTAACAGGAGAAGGTGTAACCCAAAAACAGAGAGATAAGTACAAATATTCGGGTAGTAATAATCTTAAAGCAACAAGTTAGCTTAGTGAGTGAGCAGGAAACGAAAACCCACAGGAAGAAAAAAAATAGCAGCCATGAGTCATGAGCCTCAGGCATGTTGGTGTTGCCAACATGGTCTGTGGTCACAGTATGATCAAACAACTGAGAACATCTAGAGAGTGAAATGCGAATATCTTCACTCTGTACCAGTGGAGTACACAGTGAATAAGGTGAATAGCGAATATAGTAAATATAGTCAGACACCTGACGTTGAACTGTACAACATTAACGACACAAATGGAAATAAGTCAGTTTGAAATTTTTTGGGTTACCGTAGGGTTACACCAGTATGGTTAGTTTATGGCATCAAAGCATGCTGCCAGTTGCAAATACTTACCCGTATGTGAAAGTAACTTAGGTCAGTGAGAGCATGAGGTACCTGCCATAACTGGATGTGATAAGACCACTCTCTCTAAACCTCGATAGCATGACAGCCTTAATAACGAGCAGTTATTATATATATATATATATATATATATATATATATATATATATATATATATATATATATATATATATATATTTACCAAAAAAGTATATTGATCAAAATAACATGACTACAGAGTAACATGTTTCTTTCCATTGTCAAAAACCATAACTAGCCACTACCCACAACCACAGTGGGCCTGCCAAAATGTGAATATAACATATAAGTTATACCATTAGGAATAAAACATGTTAGTATATTTAGTAAGGATAAGCAAGAAGATTACACCCTTCTGATTTGGTCGCGCTCTTCACGAGATACGATTACGGAAAGAATTCTTCCACTTCCCCGACACAGGAATAAACA